GGATCATGCCACCCTTCCGTGATCCCATCAAGGGCACGGCAGCCCCAGCGGAACACAGCCACCCCAGGCACCTGCTCATCTCGAAAGCCTGGGAGAGGCAGGTGTCCAGGTTGAGGTAGTGGCGGATCATGCGGCGGGCGGCATAGCGCTGCCAGTCCAGCACCGAGTAGCTGATGTCATCTACCAGCCGGATGGGGACCAAGGGGAACTCCTCAATGATGGGGATCCCGCTCGCCAGCCGTTTCAGGTCCCAGTTAGACTGCACAGCCACCAAAGTGGGACCCCGGCGCTCGTCCTGCACGAAGAAGAGGACATGTCCTGGTACACCTCTCCAGCAACGACCTCTGCTCAGCAGGAGACCAGCAGTGCCGCATGCCCCGTCCCTGCAGCAGGTCCCCACGGTGGGGACAGCACACATCAGCACTCCTGAAGCACCCACCTCCATGCAACCAGCTCTCCAGCTGAGCGCAGGGATGGGGGAGATGCTGAGGTGGCCTCGCTGCTGGCACTGCCCTAGGCAAGCCACCCCAAGCAAGACAAAGTCCTTGAGCAATGCCCATTTCTACCCTTGACCTTCAGGCCAACAACTATGTGCAGGCGGTGCTGGAACTGGTGCACCAGTGTTTTCCACAGCATCTTCCCCCTCCCATGGGCCTGCATGGACAAAGTCCCTGCGGGACCTTCCTCACATCTTCACCTCACCTTGTAGCCCAGCAGCAGCCGCTGGATTGCTCTGTAGACGGCCTTGGGGTCTGTCTCAGCACGAACTTCGAAGGTGTGCTTGTCCGGGGGCAGCAACTCTTCACCCACCTTTTCCAGCAGTGCGCTGCGCTCCGCCGAGAAGAGGGTGGTGAGATTCGGCATCTGGTTGCTGCGTACCTGCGCCCAAAGGGGATTGGGTTGGAGCCGGGAGAGAGGGACCCTGGCTACACGGTTCCGGGAGGCTCTCCCCTCTGCACATCACAAGATGCCTTCCACTAAGCCCTGCTGAAATGCGGCAGGGATGCGCAACATGCGGAGAAACCTCCCCCTGCCTGACCCCCATCATAGAATCGTAGAATGGTTTGAGTTGGAAGGGACTTTTAAAGGTCATCTAGACCAATGCCACCGCAAGGAGCAGGGGCATCTCCAGCTAGATCAGGTTGCTCAGAGCCCCGGCCAGCCTGACCCTGCATGTTTCCAGGGATGGGGCATCTCCCACCTCTCTGGTCAACCTGTGCCAGTGTCTCACCACCCTCACTGTAAAACATTTCTTCCTTCTGTCTAGTCTAAGTCCACCCTCTTTTAGCTTCAAACCGTTACCCCTTGTCCTATCGCTACAGGTCCTACTAAAAAGTCTGTCCCCATCTTTCTTAGAAGCCCCCTTTCAGCACTGTAAGGCTGCTGTAAGGTCTCCTCGGTGCCTTCTCGTCTCCAGCCTGAACAAGCCCAACTCCCTCCGCCTGTCCTCCCAGCA